ATAAGCCCCAACTGTGGTAATCAGGTGTACACAGACTTGGTAATCACTGGTAATCCTCACACTCGTGAGGGTCCTTTAAAAAGACAAATTTGTTGATTTAGACATGAATTTTTGTGCACATATCTTGCCTAAATGCCAACTGGCATGTTTAATATGGCAACTTTGCATTCCTCTCATGGACAAAAACATGATTTGGCCAATCATAGAATGCAAATTTGTAACTTGCATGATAAAGAATCAAGAACTACCAAAGAGTTGCACAAAAATGCATCTTTTTCGGAACAAAAAATGGCCGTTTCGATTTAGAATGCAGGTGGATCACATAGGTAATCTTTGGTAATCATTGGTACCTAGTCCTTACATTGGTAATCCGATGTACACATTTTTATGGAGTTAGGCACTCCTCGCTGTACCTAGTGCGACACTTTTTCACAGTGATTTATTTAATCTTTTTCCGCATGTTTCACAGAGGCTGGTTGACTGCGCTGCCGACCACTTCTGGTCCAATCGTATCCTCTCGATATTTTTCCATCGACTGTTGTTGTTTTTTCAGCGATCGTAGGTCTGGGGATGGGATGGGGAAAGGTTCCTTGGAGCTTGGGGCGGGCTGCGGGGGCTCGGTACAATGCGGCGCGAAGCCCCGCGCGCGGGCCGCGGGGGGCGCGGCCGCACAGGTAGTACTAGCGGCACAACGCCGATATCAAAAATAACCTGCAAATTGTGATACCAGCAAGCCACTTTGCACACTTGTTCTTAACACCCAAATGGTCGATTTGGCCCGCCGTACCTATCTGAAATATGCTGCGGGGGTGGGTTTTTGGGGGGTGGTGTTAAAAACTACCCCTAAAATTGAAAGACGTTTAAATAAAGCTATGGGTGCGATCTAAGAGTCGATTCCGGCTAAATCCGACCCGCCGAACTCAAAAATGGCAAAATAAAATCTGTCCGGACAATATTTGGCCATATTTTGGGCCATTTTGGTCAATTTAGGGCCTAAATGACTTTTAACGGTTCTCGGCATGATGGGTATCGATTCTTGGGTTTTAAAGGGGTACAAACCGGTAGGAATGATGAAAATGACACCTGGGTACTTATCTTACGCTGTCTGACCCGTGGGGTACTATTGGGCACCGTGAGAAAGATACCCCATAAACCCGGTTTTTGCGAATTTTGAGCTACAGACGCGATCAAAGGGTCGATTCCGACTAAATTAGACTCTCTGAACTCGAAAATGGCAAAATAATTTTTTTCTGGCGGATATTTGATCATTTTGTACAAGATTTAACACACATTTTTCTGAAATTAGGGCTGAAATGCATTTTTTTTTTTACGAATTTGGCATGATGGGTATCGATTCCGGCAATGCGAGAGTGAACCATGCGTTTAAGATGTTTAAAATGATGCTGGAGTACTTTTATCACGGTGCCTGACGCATGAGGTACCGTTACGCACCGTGAGAAAAGTACCCCATCAGATAGTCGTCTTGCCAACAGAGCTTCAGTCGTAGTTCAGGGGTCCAGTCGAGATAAATTAGACCAAACATGTAGCATTAAAGGTTTCGTGCTGCAAAATTTAGTTGTGGTTTAGGGGCGTTTGGAAAGCGACCCCGACCTTAAATGTTATTTGAATATATAATTGTCTTCACTATAAAAGGTCCGAATACATAAAATGTATATGTATGTCTTGCTACCCCTAATCATCTCCTAAGACATCATCTTCCTCAGTCTGGTGAGTAGCTTTTCTGAAAATAAGGCAATGGTTTACTACTTTTGGTTTGTCTTAATTTTTTTTATGTTTTTGATTTTATGGCAGGATTGCATTGACTTACGGTTTGTTAGGCGAGGTGTGACGGTATGTCATTTTTAAGTTTGATGGGCTTGATTTATCCCTAATCGAGAATACTGAACAGAATTTAACACGAATTTTTTTTTTAAATTAGGGCCGAAATGCATTTTTGTATGAATTTGGCATGATGGGTATCGATTCTGGCAATGCGAGGGTGAACTATGCGTTTAGGATGTTTAAAATGATGCTGTAGTACTTTTCTCACGCTCGCTGACGCATCAGGTATACCGTTGCGCACCGTGAGAAGGGTACCCCATCAGATAGTCGTCTTGCCAACAGAGCTTCAGGCGTGATTCAGGGGTCGATTCGGGATAAATCAAACCCATCAAACTTAAAAATGACATCTAGGGATGGGCGATTTTTAATCGATCTCGTCAGAATCGACCTTTTAAGGTTCGATTTTCGATCTTTTGAATCGATCTCAATGACAGGCGATATCGGCTGGATCGATTCGCAGACGTCCGATCTTCGGAGCGATTCACTCCTATAGTATAACCACGAAATTTGGTTCCCTTGCCCTTTCGGTAGAACATTTTCACTGCGGCGCGCTGGCATACTGTCTAGTTCTAGTAGTGTTAGTGTCCAGTAGTTAAACTAACAAGAAGAATATTTTCTTTAAATTGCACGAAATATTCAATTTTTAACAAATGTGATCTTATCTGGCGAATTCGACAAAAAATTATTCGATGTAGATCGATCTGGCTGAGATCGATCTTTTTTACACGATTAATAGGTGGATCAATTTGAACCATTTTGATTGAGATCGATCCACGAGATCGATCTTTTGCCATTCGATCCCCATCCCTTATCGTCATGCAATCTTGCCATAAAATCAAAAACATAAAAAAAATTAAGACAAACCAAAAGTAGTAAACCATTGCCTTATTTTCAGAAAAGCTACTCACCAGACTGAGGAAGATGATGTCTTAGGAGATGATTAGGGGTAGCAAGACATACATATACATTTTATGTATTCGGACCTTTTATAGTGAAGACAAATATATATTCAAATAACGTTTAAGGTCGGGGTCGCTTTCCAAACGCCCCTAAACCACAACTAAATTTTGCAGCACGAAACCTTTAATGCTACATGTTTGGTCTAATTTATCTCGACTGGACCCCTGAACTACGACTGAAGCTCTGTTGGCAAGACGACTATCTGATGGGGTACTTTTCTCACGGTGCGTAACGGTACCTCA